GTCGAGGTAGCCAAAGTGAGACATGAGAAGCGAAAGACATTTAGTCTTGGCTGAATTAGGTTGTTGGGCAATGCAAGAGTTACAATTGATATGATAACCCATGGATTATGTTTGACCCTTTTTATAGTGATCGGCGGGCCGATAATGGATTATCACGACTTCCCTAATGGACTGTCGCGTGGAATTTGTACCGGCTCATGGTCGTAGGAAAATGGCAAGTGATGAGCATGGAGTCATTGAAACTCCATTAGCGATTTGTCACCGTGGGAGCGGTGGGAATCATTCCTCTTACTGGTTGTGCAGCTTTCATAGCACTCATTTTGTGTAGCTAGATATGCGGTTTATTGTTCTTGGAAAGTGTTTCCTATCGTTAATATTATTTCGTTTTCCTTAGGTCATCGATAATCATCATATCATATATCGATCATCGATACTATAAGTGAAATTCGTCGTAGTACGAAAAAATTCGTGATCGTCTTTACAAACTGTTCGCTTGATTTATCCATTCGATTCGGAGGAGGGTGTCACCCTTAAGCGAATCGACGTGATGGAGGATCTTGACCGTTTATCCTTTGATTCAGGCGGTCTCAACCCGTCTTTGTTTTGTTTTCCTTTCAGCGGGTTTGAACTTTCCAACTTTCTAGTTTTCTTTTACATCTAGTCATGGCGGTGATGAGTGAAAGTGAGAGTCTGAGAAGAAACTGATGATTTAATTCGATGTGTGGTTCATGTAGGAATCGATGATGTCCCTGTTATTCTCTTTGTTAACTTTCAGGGACATATGACCTTTCATTTCGTCCTTTGTTTTAGTACTATTAAATTTTGTGGAACTTACGACGATTTTCCCTTTTCGTTTAGTACGGTACCTTGGAATGAAGTATCCTTCTTTTTTATCTGGAGGAGTTCTTTGTGTTGTATAATTATGATATTATTCAGAAACGTTTAGAATTTCGAAGTATATTTGTATTTTTCCTCTATGTATTGTATTATTATTATATATTTGTTATTCTATTTTTATTTGATTTTTATTTTGTTTTCTCTTTTTTTTGTGTATTAGCTGTCTGTTTAATGAGCTAATTTGGTTCCACCCTGCCATATGTGCTACGAAGTGCTGTGTTCAATAAAAGATGTGTGGTCCAAATAAGCAGATAGCGCCTTTATTATTTCCTATATCAAAGTTACATGTTGGAGGAAGCACATTGGAGAAAATATTAATTGATCAGTGGTGTTGCTCCTGGTTTGACCAGGGCGCTGAGCAGGACGCTTGTGGCGGATTAGTAGGATGCAGGTGGCTAGAATGTTAGTTCATGCTGGGCGAGGCGCCCTTCGAGATTTGAGATACGCTGCTGCAATAGTGTACTTCAGTGGTTGTTGGTTCCCCCTTTTTTTGTCAGAGTTCTGAAATACTTACGTTTATGTTTTGAATTGCATGGTGGAAAAAATGGATTTCACGGAAGATGCTGTCCAATATTTCGTTTATTGGCACCGGTGTCGGTCTGACACCGTTTCTGGGGTTCGGGTCGTTCATCTATAAATATGTACATTACTAGTGGGTAACGTTCTGAACTTGCGATATAATGGGAGTAATGCGATATAGATGTTAGATCCAGAGAGAGGGGTTAGTAAGGAATGGTATGTTAAAGAGTGTTGTGTTATGTGAGTAAGGTCGCAAGACATGTGAAACCATAAAAGAAAAAGAGAACCTCCTTAAGTATTTCTTTCGTTGTTTGGTCGGCTTTGCAATTTGTCAGTTTCAAGCGTAGCTCTGTTATGCTACTATTGATTTATTTTTTTTTCCATAAAGTGTACCCAGGAAGTATTATCGCGAGTAAGATTAGTCTCTCGCCTTTGTTGGACTTTATGTACTCCAAACAATTTTGATTGATGTATCAACTCCCATTGGAAAAGTTCCGTCCTTAACCCAGTGGTCGGTGTCGTATAACAATTCGTGTTCGACTGACTATGCGGAAGTCTTGATGTTATTTTGCCCTTTATTAATTAGCGTAGTTTTCGTGAGGAATCCATAGAGGGGCTTATATCTTTGCGTCTCATTTTATTTCGTTTTATGATGCTAAAATTGAGTATTTATCTTTTATTTATCGTTTATCTCAGTATCTCCTAAGATTGAGAGATTATTCCTAAGGATTTAGGTTTTGGACTAAGTTCTTTACCAATTCCCTTTTCTGAATTTTCGGATTAATTCTTCGTATATGTGAATTTTCAGTTGTTGTTACGTGTGAGCGCTCCGCTATAAACTTATTATCTTTAGCGTTACCATGTCACGTATGAAGTTTTAGGCTAGATGTGAGTTCACATGTGACGCTAAAGTTTATTTTTACTTCGCAATCAATGTTCAATCGGATCGAAGTCAATAATCGCAATCAATTTTCAACCGAATAATCTAATCAACCGAATTTAATAGGTTTATGAACCAATTAGTTACGCGTTTAGGATCGTCGTATTGACTTTTAAGTTGATCAATGGCATCTTCTTAAGATGATCAAGACCTGGGGATCATTCGTAGGGACCGTGCCGCGTCCCCTTTGCAACAGTTGAGTAAGATAGAAAGCTTTTCGATGTTCGTATAGGGTTGTTTGTTTACCAACTCGTCAAATAGTTCCCAGAAGGGGCCAAACTCAGACGGGTTTCCATAGAAGTCCGGAATCTTAAGGTCGTTACTTAAGAGTCTTCTCTCTGCTGAGAGCCAGCTGCTTATAGTTTGCGATTGAGAGGTCTCGTTATTCTGTTTCTTAGAGGCTGCTCTTGAAATATGGCGTCTTGACAATCAAGTTCTGATAGTCGTTTGTCCAGCAGTCGCTTAGTTTCCATTGCTTGTGTTAGGAGTCGCTCTCCTGCTTTAGTTTTCCAGTACTCGTCAAAGTTCGATTCTGTTATAGTCTTGTCCTCTGCTGTAAAGGCCTCAATACTAGCTCCTGAATTTGTCTACTCAGGTGTTTTATTGTAACTTGTTTTTCTATAACGAAGCATTCTAGGTGGCTTGGATTTTTTGGGAAAGTCCAAGCCGTTTCGTATTCGTCCACATCCTTCATTAGAGCGTTAAGAGTATTTAGTTGTCTCGTCAGTTTTTGCTTCGTTGTCTTGAAGCTGAACGTTGAAAACGACATGACGTGAGGCGCTGAATCTGCTAGGCTTAGATTCTTTGAGTGTGGTTGTTGGGCGGTTTATATCTCAGTGGATTGTCATATCGGATGGATCAGAAAACGTTTTATGAATCGTTGCATCGATTTCTTGTGGATGTTGTGAAAGCTATGCTGTGTTACTGCCGCGACATTCCTCGCATTGGTATTGGTGGGCTTTTATCTGGGAAAATCTATGTTCCATTATGCTCGCAATCTTGCAAACTTTAATTTTCAGCCTTTTGTGCCGAAACGAGGGAAACTCTCGTTATTTCATAAGGTTTGCATTTTGAAACCCTAATCGTTGTCCGCGGAGAATAACCAAAGTTTGAGAGTCTGGCACGACACTTAGAGCATCGTGGCAGACTGTCACTGTGCGCGCTTACCTTTTGGGATAAGTTGTTTTTTATTTCGGTTACATAGCGAATATGTACAATTTCATGGTGCCCCGCGTATCTGAAGAGAGAAAATAAAAGGAGGTCGTAAGTATAAGGGCTCGAGATCATAGAAGTGTCGCGCTTCGTGAGGGTACTGATCGGTGCCATTAAGAGGTCATGCAAGCGCTTTGAAAAAATCGTTTCTTTTTTTGAGTTGTCGGGGAGGATTGTTTCATATTTGTCAAATTGCATAACAATTGTTTCGTCCTGTGGCGGCCTGAAGTTCTTGTTAATCGGCCGGTGCACCATGTTTAGATCTTTGTCGGGATCCAATAAATTGTCAGAACCATTTACTTCTATATTTATTAGACCACAACAACGCAACAAATAAACATAATAAAACACTCCTCCTTGTCCTCTTGTTTAACATTGTCTTTGCGTTTACCAGGCGTAGTGTCTTTGGTTCGGATCCTAAGGTCGTCGTCGTAATCGTTTTATTGTTTCGTTGGACTGTCTCCTTCCTCCCTCCGGCGTCAATAGCCGGACTCTTGTATATGAGACATTATCTGATCGGAGAGCTGCGAGCCGAGCTGCAAATCGGAATTTCTCTGCTATCTTGTGACGACACACATGAATCATGAACGGCGTTCAGGACAGTTGGGCTGTGTTAACAGTGAAATTTGAAAATCTCTACCTGCGACTGATAGTCCTTTCGGAAAATTAATTGAGTTTGATCTATTTTGAGCGAGATAAGCAAGCAGTACTAGTTGCCAGTACTGGAATTCTCTTTGATAATCCTGAGATGAAGAAAGCTCTAGACTTCGCTGTAAGCGCACTTATCAACAGGATGTTCCCTGATAAAAAAAAAGTGAGAAAATGGCCGCGGTTGGAAGCAGATGAAGAGCTGAGGATGACTCCGCAGCTGGAAGTCACGGAGAAAAGTCCTGCTTGTTTATGATGAAACACTAAAGGACAGGCCCACTATGGAGAGCGATTGTTGGTCGGACATACATCTAAATTCTGCTCACAACAGCCAGTCCGCGTTGGCCAAGTATTGCGTCGTTAAGTGAGAAATCCGGCCATTATAAAACTGTGGCACGATAACACAGGACCACGTGTCGCGAAAATTTACGTGTCGCGAAATAATTCAATGATAGTGACAATGTCAAAATTTGAGAAGTCAACTTCTTCGAATCGTACCTGAAAGAGTTCTACGAGGTAGGCCTCCATGCTTTGCATAACACAAGAAATCCTTGATTAAAAACGACATTTCAAACTTACCAACCTAAATTAGGCTGGTCCGTAATTTCTGCAAGAATTTGGCAACATTTTCATTTCGATAGACCAAAAAGCCAGGGCGCGCGCTGTAATCAGTTCGTTTTGATCAATCCTTCGCGAAGATGCGTACTTTTCGGGAATAGCTTGGACTTGCGCGCATTCGAGTGATTGCTCAGCGACAGCAATGGTAGTTGATATTGTTTCTCAAAACTCCTTTTGGTGCCATTAGAGTGGCGCAAAAATTTATCAAAACGAGAAAAGTTTGAATTCCGAGGCAAAAACGGCACCAGAACTTGCTCTCTACAATATGACCTTGTTAAAAAAGATCCAATCCAAAATTATTATTCTTTCATAATTTGAAATGTATCATAGTGCAGAAGCTAGCTCGGACATCGGATTTCCATCTGCCTTCTGTGGGTATTACGACGATTTCTCTAGAACCTATCTTCGATCTCCCATCTTCACTTCCGGTTAGGGTCTTTTAAACACCAAACAACATACAGGATCAACCATCATGTAGGCGAAGGCACGCTCCCTCAATCCACGTTGCACCTGTGATTCCTTCTGTTCCGAGGTTATCTTTTTTATTTGAAGATGACCCACACTCCAATTACCTCTAAACTGGCAATCATTGCTCTACTCAGCGCTACTGAGGTGAGATTGGATCTGGACAGATTAGACGCTAATTGTCAAAGCGTCTGTGGCTTGTTATTCAGCACTGTGGATTGGGCGCAGCAAGCTAGCAAATCTATTACGTAGTCAGAAAAGTATTTGGCCATCTGTCGATTTTTTTCTAATTCACATTTCTTCTTTAGCACAGAGAGCAGTTTGCAAATTTATGCCCCACAACGATCGCCAAAATATTGTCTTGTGGCAGGTAAATTGTGTATGCCATTTGTCCGAAAATACTGAGCTTTTAAAGCCAAAACCTTGAAGAAGTCCTCTTCGTGTGGGCTTGGATTACTAAGCTCTCCCTCCAGTATTTGATCTAACAGCAATGGAAGCAGATGGTAGACTGTTAGTGCCGGGATTGCTGAATGCAACGGGTGGGACAGAACGCCCCATAACGGGCTTGGAGACATTTGCTGGACCTTCTCCCGAATTCGTTGACGAGCGTTGCCTCTTCGAAGTAAACTTTTCTACGGTTTTGAAAAACGTTGCCACGAACCCACCTGTCTGCGCATATTATGGTTCAACAATAGCACTGCAGTTCTTTGGTAGGATTCGGTGAACGAATCTCTTGGAGCTTCACCAATTCTGAAAGTTACCTTCCAGGCTGCAGTGCTGGAATCGGCGCTGGAATGTTTGGTTATACGCTTCTGGGCCACCGGCCCTTCCGACTGCAGTTCACGTGAGGAACTCACTTCTGGCTACCTTCAACGAAGTAGTGGGGTCAAATAAGATACAGACGGTAAACCAAAACGTTCACGCAAAATCTGATTGAGGACCTCTGACGGCGGTTGTCAGCATTGTCACGAAATCTCCTTTTGCCATATTTCTCGCCTTTTCGAGAAGAGTATGTAACGGATACCTGCCTTCGCCCATCGTACAAGTCCTTCACCAGAGGGATCAGGTGTTCTGGCACATTCCGCTCCCTGAGCGCTCTCCATAGTACTGTTCGAGGTAGTCGGTCGAACGCCTTTTCCAGGTCGAGGAAGGCTAGGTAGCAGGTCGGCGCTTTCCTCGGTACTTTTCCATTACTTGCCTCGCGATGAAGATGGCATCCATAGTAGACTTTCAGGCATGAACCCGAACTGTTCCTGAGAGATCGGGACCAGCTCCCTCAGCTTCGAGTCGACTAGCCGCTCGTATAACTTCATGGTATGAGCAGTAAACTTGATCCCGCGGTAGTTGAAGCAGTCCAACGCGTCACCTTTCTGCTTGAAGATGGGGACGATAGTGCTTGTTCTCCAGGCATCCGGCACCCTTCCTCCGGTGGTTACCGTGTTCAGGAGTTGGGTAAGCCATCTGATCCCGTACTCTCCGAGCGTCTCCATGCCTCGATTGGCACCTTATCTGGACCCACCGCCTTTCCAACCTTCATCTTCCTTAGTTCTTGACGTACCTCATCCTCTGTCCATAGTAAGATAGGGCCAGCCGTCGCCTCTGTTGGCGAGCTGTCTTTGTGGAGGAACTCCTATTTCGGGAGCGCTTTGTAGTACTCCTCCCACCTCTTCCTGACCTCAGTTGGCTTCCTCAGGATGGCACCGTTATTGCTCTTCACGCTCTTCATCACCCTAATTTCTTGGGTAGCCCGATGCCGGGCTTTGACCAGTCTGAAGACGAACTTTTCTGCGTTTTGGCTCTCTAACTTCTCGTACAAGGCGTCCACTTCCGTGTTCTTCGCCTTGGCGATGGTCGCCTTAGCGATCCTCTTGCAACTCTTGTAGGCAACGAGGTCCTCGGGGCTCCGGGTCTTCTGCCAGCGCTTGTATGCTTCCTTCTTCTGCTTCATCGGGACGTTCGCTGTGACCTCCTCGTTCCAGAACCACGCTGCCTTGTCACCTCTGAATCCACTCGTCGTCTCCCCAGTACCTCCTTGGCGCATCGTAAGATGATCTCAGCTGCACTGCCTCAAGTGCTGCACTGGTACCTCAGCGACCTGGGAGACACTTTCATTATCCTTCGTTTGAGGTCGCTCTTCTCTGCTCGGTGCAACTTCCACCACCCGGATTCTCCTCTCCGGTTCTTACCCTTGCTTCTTGGAAGGTCTATGGCTATGTCTGCCAGGAGGGCCTGTGCTGAGGTGCCAGTTCTTCGCCAAGAAGATACCTTGGTCCTTCACAGGTTTGAGGGATGATCTTCTACGGTACATGGTCGATTTCCGTTCTGCCTCCCTCCACTGCTGTAGGTGACCTTCTGAGTCTCCCTTTTCGCGAGAAACGTGCTGCAGATTGCCAGATCGTGGGCAGTAATCCAGTCCAGGACCCTCTCTCCCTCGGCGTTACTCACGCCTCATTCGTGTACCTCCGGCTGCGACCTTTCGATACCTCTTCTATCGCCTGCGACGTGCCCATTCAGATCGCTGCTTCATGGTCAAGTAATCGCTTTCGGCGATCTATCTGATGGCTTCGTCCAGGCTCAGGAGCTCGTACCTTCTCACTCTCGGGGATCCGGCTCTGCGAGCATACAGCTGACAGTATTGACCAGACCCCTTCCTCACAGCCATTATGCGCTCGCTGATTCTTTCACCAGCGGATAATGGTTTTTGAGCGACTCCGCCAACCGCTATGGCCACTCCATTCGCTTGGTGTTCGTCCCCATTGTAGTAGAGGTTGACACCTTCCCCGATTTCCTGGCCTTTGGCCCCTTGCATCGTGTCTCCTGAAGCAT